GGGGGTGGCTGTTGATGTGGAAGACAGGAGGGGGATGGAAGCTGCGGAGCCCCCTCCTGTGGGATCTCTGATGATCTGCCACCTGTATTCATTGGAATTTCCTGTTCCATAGGTCTCCTTGTGGGTACTCTTGATGTTGTGTTGGACTCCAGTGCCAGAGTGGCACCATATCGAATCCTCTACCAAGCACCAGACTCCTTGGTCTATTGGACTATCGCCTGCGGTAAGGACAAATGTACTGACATGGGTTTTTATTCTTCCTGGATGCTGTGCCACATAACGAATAGAGCATTCTGCCTGCTGAGCACAGTCATTTCAGGACAAATAAATGGGTCAGGATGAAAACCTGTTCTAGTGATTAAATTAAGGAGCTGCAGAGCTTCTAATTTTCAGACCTTGAATGCCAGAATGTGTGTATGTGTTATGCACGATGACTGAGTAAAACCCAAAATGGCTATGGAACAGTGACAGAAGCCTCTGTTCCTTCCCACTCTTCATCTCCCAGATATGTTCCCAGGCGAGCGGCCTAGCGTCTATCCCTCCTCCTTGCGTGTGCTTCTCAACATTAGTGGTTCGCTCCTGCAGTGCTTCTAAAGTGCAGCATTCCTGGGTGATGGGGTATCTCTAAAGAGTCTGGTAGGAGGACTACTTGGGTTACAGCCCCCAGATTACCCAGACAGGGTGCCTGGCTACCCTTGAAATGGAAACCAGGAGGCTAGTGCAACCCCAGCTCTCACCCACCTACTGAGTATCGCTGTGGCATTTCCTGGATAGTGAACTCCATCTTCTCAGGGTAAATACCATCTAGATCCCACCAGATACCATCTAGGTGTGCCCAGCTCCTGCATGTTTATTTCAGTGTGTGGTCATTCTCAATGTGATGTATTTAAGAAGTCAGCAAGATGGTAGCTAGGTTAGATACAAGTGTATGTTCTTACATAAATGTAACAGCTCTTAAGAGTTTTGGTCTTTAAGGCTCAAACTTTATCAGATCTAACTATAAGACTCTTTCTTCTGTCATTATAGTAGTTGATGAAATCAACGGAGGTGATATTTTGATACATTCAGTAGGATTTTTGCATGCATCAGGGCCTCTAAGTACTAAACACTTATTTCTGAGGTCAGGTACCTATTGCAAGTAGCATAAAGCAGCATGAAGTTAGTCTCTGGTTCTGTTTGCCAGCTCTGAAAATAGTGTGTGGGGCTGAATGCAGAAGGTGGAGGTTATTTAGCTTTGACTGGCCAAGCTTGTAGGGTCAGCTCCTCAGTTTGATAGTTTTGTTTTTCAGTCCTAGGGAATGGAAACTCTTGAATGCAACTCATCTAGCTCTAAAGTTTTCCTCTAGCTCTAAAGTTTCAAACACTGTTTTAGGCAGCGGACAGAGCTCTGGTCGTTGGAAAGAACATTGAGAAAGAGGACAAGTAAGAAATGCACATATGCCTGTCAGCTCTAATACAGTGGTAATTTCCAGCGCTCCCACTGCTGCCTGACATTCAAAAATACTAGTTAACAAAGCTGTAGACTTCTGGCCTGACAGTGCCCTCTCATCGGTGCAAGCTCTCCCAGTGAAATTTGCCATTTAGATTGCTTGGGTGACTCTTCCTCCAGAGAAATCCTCTCTTGGGAAAGGGAAGAGGAGGACGAATGGATGAAGGTTTGCCATAGATCTAATCATTTTAGCAGGTCAAAGCAGGCGTTATGAGCATATGATTCATGTGTCTGACAAAGGTGATATGAGTGCTGTGTCACATTCTGAATCCAATAGGAGGTTTTTTAATAGCTCGTCTTAGCACAAGTATTTCTTGCCACTTTTGGTGGTGTCAGACCTGAAAGAAGACTTCGATTTAAACAGCCATTTTTCCCTCTGCACCTATTACTACCAACTCACTGAAGATTGTAAAATTCATATAATATAATTTTCCTTCAGTGACAGCTAATAGTAAGAACAGATATTAATGAAATGGTTGGTATTTCCAAATCTTCATGCTCACTTTGGACTGTCAGCTGCTCTGCTGTAACTGTAAGGTCTGCATGGGACCTTGCATGTCAGCTTTCCATGGATCTCAGTTAAAGGAAAGTAAAAGGGAAAGTGCTTGCCAGTACATTTTTTACACTATTTGTGCACAAGCAGAGGTAGCTGCAAGTGCATATACAATCCCTTTTTCCTTTCACCCAAACGTCAGTCTGCAGCAATTAGTAGCACCTCTGTCCTATAAACCTGAAAGGGAGTAAACTGAGAGCACAAATTTTCTTCCTGTTTGCAGACTCCCTTCCAAAGAAAATATCACGAGGCTCTCAATAAAAGTGTTTCTTCAAAGACACTCGTACTGTGCACATATTCAGAAATTAATTTTCATGACTTTGGAAATAGGCCATGTGTCTTTTCTTTAAGTGCATTTGCAGGTGTTTTGCATTATAGATTATGACTACAATTTTATGTCTGCAGTGTCTGTACTCAAATAACCAGGCAAATTAAATATGGCCCCAGAATAAGCAAATGTAACATGCTAAACATGTTATTCAATTATGAATCTTAACCCAATTTGAAATTGCTAATAAAGTAGTTAATGTACGTAACTGTGTTTCCATTTTGTGGAGTGGGTCTTTTAGTGTCCTAATATCTAGACTTGCTTGATTGGCTTAGTTATTTTTGTTAAATTATAAGACTGCACTAGCTTAGCCTTGTCTCCCAAGGGGAATAGTGTGGTTCTTACAGGGAGGTAAAATTTTACAGGGAGCAAATTATTTATCTTTGCAGCCTTGAATCTGAGTAGCCCAGTGTGGCCTAAGGTTCTGCGCTGTGGTTATTTTATGAATTTGCAACTAAAGCGATTCCTTCTGAACCAGTCGAGGGCTCTTACTATTATAGAGGTTACTAAGAGATTTGGCTGCATTTAGCTATGCAACTCAGATTTGTCCTGCGTTGTACAGCTGTCCCACCCTGTTCCCTAGGGGTAGACTGCTGGTTATTTGGCACTTGTAATCTCTTATTTTTACAGAAATTTGTCATATTCTCCTCTGCCTTCCATAAAGCAATAATTTCCATCTTCAGTAAGTAGCTATACAGAGTGACTGGAACAAATGTGGTTGTTTCCTGGTTCATTCACGCTACGTGATGTTTGGTCTTGTTCTGTACAAGACTATTCCGAGGGTAAAAAATAATCCAAGGGGTTTTGTTTGCTCTAAAATGACTATTTAGTTATGTTTAGGCCCCAGATTTATTTATAATTAATTTTGGATGTGAACTTTCTTGGGTGTTAACTCTACTGATCTAGGCTATATGAGAATGCTAGCTGGTTGGGTTCGAGGCTCTGTAGCTCTGTAAAGGAGCCTTGTTAACAGCACTTGCTCCAGTGCAGTGTGGTGCTGAACGTGCCATGGGTTAGAGTTCTGCCTATTGAACTGTACTGGAAAGATGGTATTGGTAATAGTTCAAGAACAGTTTAAAGAATGTTAATTTTGTAATGGTCGAGAAATGCAAAATGTTGTGTGGGGTCAGTCTTGCATATTTTGATAGCCCTCCTGTGTCAGTGTCATCCATTCTGCTAGTGCTTAATTTAGGGGGAAAATGGTGGTATATGTAAACTCTGGAAATGAACAACTCCTATTACATCCTTCTCCACCTATAGAGTCAGTCATTCTTACTATGGCTTTGGTGTGGTTTTCGGGTATAGAACCCACCATTGCTGTAGGCTTTTTTGTGGTAATGGTAGTTACATGCATTTCCATATAAGTTTCTAAGACTTTATTTCACATGTGAAAAAAAAAAATTATGGATTATTTTAAAGCACCAATCTTGAAATTTCATTACAGGCCTTGGAAAAGGTTTTCAGAAAAGCCCAGGTGCTTTGGTTAACAAAGCTACAAGTTTTAGTTAGAGTGCTGTTGAGTCTACCAGCCATAACTGTTTTCTCTTTCCTCTCTGCACAAAATGAGGTTCTACCAGTCCCCTCCTGAACCTGCCATGACTGGCAAGAACGGTTTTTGGCTCCCTGAAGTGTTACAGGTTCTCTTGCAGTACCCTCTGTTAAGGCAGCAGTTCAGGTTGATTAATAAGCATTTCAGGTAAGTATCTACTTGGGACAGAAGACCGGACATGACAGCCTCATCCGCTGTCCCAAGTTAATCCATTCCTGTTCCTGAGTCACTGACTGAAACAATACAGAGATTATATTTCTGACTGTGTTTGAAAGCATGTTTATATGACATGTTAATTTTCTTCTCAGCCTGGAACTGGGCACATTCCCTCTGTACTTTTGCCTCTTACCTTAGACAAACCAAACCAGGTACTAGAATCCTAACCCTGACACCCAGAGAAGTCCCCATGGTGCTTATGCTGTTACTCCACCCCACCTGCCAGGCAACTGCCCCTTCTCCTCCTCTCTCCAGCACTATGCATCCTTCCTCCACCCACCTATTCTGGTCTAGAACCTCCCTTAGCTCCCCAGCTTCTCTTTAACATGGTTACTAGTTTCTTCCCTGAAGATTGAGGAGAATAGCTCTGTCTGCCAGGGATGACTGCCAACATTACACCATTTCAGCCACGGAGCACACTCTAAGGTGAGCGTAACATTTAGAGGAGGGGAAGGAGTGATTGATTAGTAGCCTACTGTATGTATCATAGCTATTTTCCCTTTCATTTCCAGCCAGTCTTCTTGAGGGCTGTGTACTCCAAAGCGCAGTGCTTTAACTGTTCCCTTCCCTGAGAGACAGAGATGCTGCTTAATTTACCTAAAATGTCAATGGTGGGGAATGCTTCTAATATGCTACAGTAGGCAAAGACTTGCAAGCAGCAGAGTTAAAATAGACCTGCAGTTTAAAACATCGCAGCAAAATTGGGTTTTAAACCTGAGTGAAAAAGAGAAAGATCTACACTGTGATGATAAATGAGAACTGGGGTGTGGGTTTTAACCTGACTGCGTGATGTGCTGTAGATGAGACTGGGAGACTAAAAAGTAAAACAGTGGAGAAAAAAAGCAATGGAAATGGTGAGATGGGTTGTTACAGATTGAGATTAATCAACCAAAGCTGTTTCATAAGAAGTGCTGAAAAATTATAGATGAACCGCAAGCAAGAAATACACAGCCTTAAGCAATAGTTTGTCACGATAGTTTGTCTGCACTGCTTGTCGCTGCTCTTCAAGAGATGAGCCATTTTTCTGATGACAGTTTAGTTTTATATACATAGCTCATGTGTTTCGTCATTGCCTTTTACACCAGTGTAGAAGCCAAGAAGAAATAAATCAGTCTTCAAACCACTTCTTGAGTTCCAGAAATGTCTGGTTGCATCCAGTAGTTTTAAGGAGAAGCAGCAGCAGTGCTCACTGGTGGCCCTGAAATGTTTGTTACACATGCAGGCTCTTCTGTAACATGATTTTATGTATCCATACTACAGCTAGAATTGTGATATTCCCCTGGAAGTTGCACAGAATGTTGCATTCTGTTGCTTTCATCGGAGTTGTGTGAAGCTCTGATTGTATACTGTGGAAAGAGTATTTTGCCCCACTATTTGTTGCTGAACAGGAAGGAAAACTATTGTTTGGTGTGTGTTCAAGATGGATGCACGGAGTTCTACAAACCATGGAAACACGCACAGACATGTGACAATTTGTGCCTGCAGTGAAGCTGGAGTTATTAGCAACAGCTTGTAATTTAACCTCTTTCTAATGGTTGCTTCACATGAGCCCCTTCACTTAGTTGGGTTCTGCAAGAATTAGTTAGAAGGTAGGTGCATTTAGTTGCTACTTCAGAGTAACACGAGCTAAATCTGTGATTTGAACAAAAAGATGATGTAGATGCTATTTCCTACCTGGATTGAGATACTTTTAATCAGGGTTCAGTTACAGATGTTTCTGAGTGAACATGAAATGTTTGTTTTCTGAAAATGCTTAATTAAAAGTCTTGGTTCTGACATAAGTCTCTCAACATCTCTTTCTGGGGCAACAATTTTTTTGTGAGTGCTTGAATTTATTCTTCCTTCAGGGTGGGCACAGAGATCCTGAAGAGTGCCACCAACCTTATTTTGGAAAATGTTGAGAACAGGATGTCGAAGTGGAAGTTGTATTTATTACCATCCATCTCAAGTAGAATAGAAGCAAAAATATGGATACATAAACTCTAGTTCATGCTAGAGCCTTTTTCAACCCTGTTCTGTACTACTTTACAGGCAGCATGTATCCTGATTTCCCAGTGTTACAGATATCTCACTAGCCATCTTCTCGTCTCCTAAGCAACCTAGAGTCATTGAAGTTTAGTTTATTCTTTCATCATTCAAAGCAAACCACCTCTGACAATCCTTCACCCATAAAATAATACAGCTTTCTTAAGGGTCTTTCAGCACTGTTCTTTTGATGAAAAGCCATTGAAATAGACTTGACAGGAAAAGGGTCCTTTTCAGCTTCTACTGTTGAAATTTTATCATTGTTTCATAATCTATAGTATATAATGGTGAAGAATTAGGAAACAGTGGTAGAATATGCAACTGCTGGGGTTTTTGTCAGTTCCTAACAGATGCAGGTAATACCTTTGCTAACTCTTCAATGTGATGTTGGGCAGCTCAGTGTCACTGTTGTGGCTAGAATGTGAGTGGGTTTTGCTCATGATACCTGACATAAGTAGCTTGTGCTTCTCACAGGATAATCTCGAAGATTGCTACCTATTTATTATGAAATAAAAGACTATGGGAGAAAATTTTGGAATTTCCAGGAGCACATCTGGTGAATTGTTGCAGCCCCAGTTACTGGAGAGTTTTATTAGTCTTTTGTTTACGATTAATAGGACATTGACATTGGTAAATTACTTGTTTTGTGACTTTTGGGTGTTTTTTTTCTTATATACAGGTTGCTCAAGGAAGGAAATCACCGAACACTGGGAATGGCTTGAACAGAATTTGTTGCAAACTCTTTCAATCTTTGAAAATGAGAATGACATAAATACATTTGTCAGAGGAAAAATACAGGTAGTAAAGTATATTATTATAAATGTGTGGATGATAAATGTCATTGTGGAAGAAAAACTGACCTGAATTCTAACCAAATTTGACCTAGTGGTCCGCAGGCTGCTCCACCTTTTTGAAGGAAAACCAGATCCAAAGTAGCAATGAGTATGAAAATTAGGGAAAGTGGGATTAGCGTACATAACTACAACACTGTGATTAAATACACATTCATGTTTGTATATGTACGTAGAGGCAGGACTTCAGACATTGTATGTTCTAAAATTAATTCCACTGTGGCTTCTGTCTTTAACAGTTTTCTATGTAACTGCTTTTCCAGTGCCAAGCTTTAATTTTTTTTCATACACTCATCATATGATGTCTCCTTACCCTCTTCTGTGTAGTTAAATCCCATAGCGTTCGCCTTTACGCTTCATATAGGTGTTGGGGGTTGCTGGGTGATTGATGGTTTTGGGGGTTTTTTGTGGGTGTTGGGTTGGGGTTTTTTTTTGCCATTGTTTTTCTAGAATTTCGTTTTTCTCCTTACAGGAGATGTAACAGCTATGCTAGTAAAAAGTACTTTTTCCACATGAAGCATTATCGAAAAATAAATATTTTGGCTAAAGATTGTAAGCAAAATTACTGTACTTACTTGGTGTGTATTCCAAGCATTCCCTTGTCTCATTCCTCTTTTAGCATGTCATGTAATAAGCCAGCTGTCTTAAGAATCCCGTAGTTGTTTGCATTTTCCTAGTGAATCAAGTACGAAGGCTATAAGTGATCATGGAAACACCTTATGCAAGAAGACATCTGTCTTGTGAAATATAATCCTTCAAGGAAATTGTTACATTTTAGTCTTGGACAAATATTAAATATGAATGGTGGTTCGCTCTCTGATACTCTGTTTTCCATGTAGATATGGAGCAATTTTATGGCAAGAAGTCATTTTCCTTTTTATAACTTTAATACAGAAGGCAATAGAAGGTTTATAAAAGAGATGAGGAAAAGAAGTGAATAGGCCAGAACTTCAATACAGAAGAAAAGGAGCTGAAGTCTTTGAGGTTTCAAAAAGCAGCTTTTCACTAGACTGCTGCCATTTCAAATGTGATGAAGATCATCTGCATTGGAAAGTGTGAATGATTTTTCCATCCTGCGAGTTAATCTAATAGAAGATAATTCTTTTTTTCTCCTCTTGCTCTTCTCTTTTGCTCAAGGTCCACTAGGAGGAGTCATAAAAACAGTTTGATATTTTTCCTAATGAATAGCATATCCTTTTTTTCCTTTGACCTTTTTCCTTCCTATTAGAAGAAAATTTTCTGGTGGAAAAAAATAATATATATGTGCTTTCAGGGAGCATATTTATGTTGAAGGGGAAAATATTACAAGTTACAGAAGCTTTACAGAGGAGTTGGGAGCATTTGAGATAGGCTGGTTAATTTAAAACAGGGTTAGTGGTTAGCGTTTGGTTGCTTTGGGCATAGGCATGGTAGGGAGCAAGGTCATCAGCACAACAGCCTTGAATAAAGTAAATAACTATATAAGCAAAAGAATGAGCAGAAGAACAAGGGATAAGCAAAAGAATTCCTTGACATTGCAGTAACTCTTGTGGCCTCTGGCCCAGCCCATGATGGTAACAAGGATATCTGACACCCCTTGGCAACTAACATGCTATGTACTTCTCCCACTCCCTCCTAGGGCATCATTGCGGAGTACAACAAAATCAATGGCATCAAGGAGGACGATGATACAGAAAAATTTAAGGAAGCCATAGTGAAATTTCACAAGCTGTTTGGGATGCCGGAAGAAGAGAAATTAGTGAACTACTACTCCTGCAGTTACTGGAAGGGGAAGGTTCCCCGTCAGGGCTGGGTGTATCTCAGCATTAATCACCTTTGCTTTTACTCTTTCCTCATGGGCAGGGAAGGTATGTTTGACAGTGGAACAGTGATCTGTGCACCTAAGAATTGTTAGGAGATCTTCTGTAGTTGTTACTGTTCAACTGCTGAACTGCTGGGGATGCAAAGACTGCTGAGGAAAGGAGAAGCAGGGAGTAATTCCCCAATTGTCACGCTGCTTAACTGTGCACATGTTGCCTTGTTTGTTTTGTATTTCTCAAAGTAGTTTTTTATAAAACAATACCTGGCCATCGTTTAGAGGCATGGTTCGTTTAAAGGACTGTTCCCAAAAGGGAATAGGGCTGAGATCACACCAGTTTTGGCTCCTTCTGCTTTTATACAATCTTCCACTACTAGTCTGTCAGACTTTGCAACCTCAAATGCCACATTTACTCTTGTGCAACAATAGAGCATCACAAAGGGCTCAGAGGAGACCCAGGATCAAGAACTACATAGTGTGGCTGCAACCAGTCTGCTGTAGAGGGAATTAGCTCTAAGCAGTGTGGAGGTGAGTGAGTCTGCAGTACTTGGTTATGAGCAGTGGATCAGTGCCAGGTATTTCTGTTTAGCTGTGTTGACATACCCCAGCGAATGACTGGATTCTTGTTGACCAAAAGAAATGTAGATTTAGTCCCTGTTTTAAGGACAAAATCCTAACCTGTAGCGGTGTTGGAAGAAAAGCCAAGGATCTGTCATTACAGTCATATTTGAAACATTTAAATGTATAAAAATAATGCAAGCCTGTCTAATGTGTTTAGACTAGGTTTCTCTGCTTCCATAGGAAAAGAGGAGATCAGGGTCTGAGCAAGTGCTGTGGCAATGATAAATTGTCAGCCCACCAAGCTTGGTAATGGTTTTGTGTGGTGGTGTGTAGAGAAGTAAATGCTATTTAACTTCTTATCTGCTGTTTGTCAGGTGATCATAGTTTGTTTGTACAAGCTGGCTCTATTTATGCTGTCCTCCCAACTTTTCAACATGTGAGAAAAAATCAGCCGAATACATTTTATAGGGAGAGTAAGATAAATGCTTTTGAATATGCTCTTTTTTGTATTGAACCTTTTGTTTGTTTTTTTGCTTCTGTTCAGCAAAGCTAGTTATCCGCTGGGTCGATATCACTCAACTTGAGAAGAATGCTACGCTGCTGTTCCCTGATATGATCAAAGTGAGCACAAGGTCAAGCGAACACTTCTTCTCGGTATTCCTTAATATCAGTGAGACATTTAAACTAATGGAACAGCTTGCCAATATAGCTATGCGGCAGCTTTTGGACAATGAAGGATTTGAACAAGACAGGTCATTACCCAAACTGAAGAAGAAATCCCCCAAGAAAGTATCTGCACTAAAACGGTAGGTAGCATTGGCTCTTAGCAGTTTGTTTCTCCTCAGTCCTTTCACTTGCACCGTTTTGCGCAGAAGTTCTCTAATGTTGCTGCCATTCACTGGTACTCCAAAAGGAATGATTGATTCCAGCAGTGGCAAAATGTGAATAATTATTTAAATATAATTGCTTGGTCTCCATTGAAATAAGAAAGGGAAAACGTTTGAATGTGGTCACGCTGCAAAAATAAGCACATTTGAGCCAAATTCTTGTTTGTTGAGAAGCACATTAACGTATCTCTCGCCACGGGCTGTGTTAGATATCTGTTGTAAGGCCCTTCTAAGTTACCAGCGCAGGTGGTAAAGCGATTTAAGTGTTACTAAGAAATGTGCCTAACATTCATACTTGGTGCTATAACTGGAATTGAAAAATTACTCTAGATGATGAATTCTGATTAGAACTTATTTTAGGTAAGAGACATTTTTAAAATGACATCAAATGTTAAGGGATGAAAAATGATCTGGAAAATATTTCTGCTTCTTCCATAGATACCATACTGTAGTTTGATAGTTTCTTGATAATTTTTCATTATATGTTGATCGTGTTAGTGACCCATACCAAATTGTAACTGCTGCTTGTTTATTTCTCATTACGTAGTGGCATCTGCCGTGTATTATCACTTGGCTTTGTCCTTCTGACTACTCTGTGTTTTGCACTGAATGCATAATTAAACTCTAAGCCCTAAGGATTTTATCAATAAATAAATAAGCCTTGAAGCATTTTAGGTGTAAGCTATTTTATTTAATAATAAATGGATGCACTGTATCTACTCTCAAAAAGTGGGGCTGAATGTGAAAAGATCACCCAGCCTGTCCCCTCTGAGAAGTCAGGATCGGTGTATCTCAGTCACTCATGGCAGAACATTGGGGTTTTTTTTAATGTAGTTTTAGAATCTCCCAGCAGTGGAGACTCTGCATCCCCTATATGCAAACTATTTCCACTGTTTTGCTGTACACTCGCTGCTTAACTGAGCTGTATGTTGCCGGTAACTTGCAATGGTTTGTATAAAATATATCGTAAAATGTATTATGTATTTCTTAAAACAAGAAAAGCTTTCTGTGGGTTTTTGTTGTTTGTTTGTGGTTTGTTTTTTTTTTTAGGGATCTTGATGCCAGAGCAAAGAGTGAGAGATACCGTGCATTGTTCCGACTTCCTAAGGATGAGAAACTAGATGGACACACAGACTGTACTCTCTGGACTCCATTCAACAAAATGCACATTTTGGGTCAGATGTTTGTTTCTACAAACTACATTTGCTTTACTAGTAAAGAAGAGAACTTGTGCAGCCTTATTATCCCTCTTCGAGAGGTAAATATTTGTATTTGTAAATGTATAGGGCAAATCATAAAGCAATATCCTATTGGAAATTGCATCCTAGCTTTGATGTTCTTTTCATTGGAGTAAATTCTTTTTTCATCCCTTTAATCTCTTGTGAGCATACTAGTCTGATGTCTTCTAAGTAATATTTAATGACTCTGTATCTTCACTGAAAGCCCCTACTACTCAAATTCACAGGGAGTTTTCCCTGTCAGTTTTTACAACACTCATGATTCCTTCCTATCCTGTAATTTATATTCTGCTTTACAGCCCCATGGTGCAATTTCTGTGCCTCACAGGAAGGGACAGATGATAAAACTTCCTAGATTCATGAGTGAAACTTCTCTTAAAGAATCTGTCAGAGAAGATTTGTCAGATGTAAAAAGATTCACAATCCTAAAGGTTTGAATTGTCTCTTCACACAGACTTGCAATCATTTATTCTTGTATATGGAAAACATACATCAGCATTTTACAAATCAGTGTGCTTCACTTTTTAAAGCTGGCTTCTTAAAGCAGATGTTCGTTAAAAAGAATTTAAGTTTGCTGCAGTAAAAAAATATGCTGGAGAGGTTTTTTTTATGATTGACTTGATTCGTGGATTAATGAAAAAACATACAAAGTCAGTCTGGAAATAGTAGCAAAGGTGATCTAACCAAGGACAGTTTGGCTTGATCGAACAACATGTAATATTTCAAGGTACGGTTTTCCCCCCCAAACCATTAAGAATAAAAACAAATAGTGTTTGTTTGAAAACTCTGAAACACAACTTCTCCACAGTGTGTTGCAATGACTTTGGTTATTTGAGAAGAGATGTTGGATTATGGTTGCACTGTTTGTCTGGGATTCCAAGGGAATGACAGTCCTCCAGGTAAAGTGGTGCTTTTGTGTGAACAGGATAAGTCTCACCACCAGCAAGGAAAACAGTAACACACTGGGTAGCACCGGTCCTTGGAACAACAGATCACTACCCTTAATAATTAAAGGGAAGCTTTCTATTTAATTAAATCTTTGGGTCAGACCCTATCCTAATTCCAGTATTCTATGATATCCTGGAGATGTTTTGACAATAACAAAGCATTGATTCAGAAATGGTGATTGGAGATTTTGGTGGCTGACCGCACTGCTCACTGCACCCAGTAGGTGCAGTCTCCAAGATCAACGCTTCAGCTATGTGTGTCCCTACTTGATGAGGAAATAAGTGGGAAATACTGACTCTTATCATAGCAGAGCATGCTTGCTATAGTGTCTGTCCTGTGCCTTTAGGACTTGTCTGTCTTCTGTGCTAGTTATGCTCAAACAGTTTTTAAGTGAAACAGAAAAATGATATAGGAACACTTCTTAGCTAATTTCAATATGCTATTAGTAAAGGTCCTTTACGTTAATAGCTAATACATTTGTAGTTAACAGAAAAACAAAAGGAAGTTGGAAGGGTAGAGAAGTGATTTAGCACCTGAGCTGTGCATTGCAGTCTTTAAATACATCTTCAAAGGAGTGTGTGAAAAATGGTTATCCTATTTTAGCTAGAGAGATGTTAATCTTATAGTACTAATGTCTTACCATTGATCTCTGTTTTAAAAAAGTGAAAGTAAAGGTCCTAGTAAACTGAAATGTGCTCACTTCTACTCTGAAGGCAGTAAGGCGGTTTTCATTACCCAGGAAATTGTTTAAAGTCATAAAAGCAGTAGTTAAAAAGTACTTACAATAGTGATCTGTGTTTTGTTCAGTGTATGAACTGCACAAACGTGATTGATTTGGGTTTGTTTGGGGTAGTGTTTAGAACACGCCTGTTCCATAATCCATCCACGGTGTTTGACTTGTCCCTGCGATTTCTTTGTGGTAATGTGCTTTACCGAAAGCTCAGGGAACTAGTGCCCTGTACTCAGTAGGTTGTGATCTGAGTACTGTTTACAGGTTGGAGTTCAGATAGATTTGTGACCATTTCACTAACAGTTGAAGGCCAAACAGAAATCTCCACCTCACAGGGATAGATTTTTCCTTTGTAAGGCAAGTTGTGGGGTTAGTTTCCCATTGTTGCAGGTTTGTGTATCGTGAAAATGTAGTTGCAGTAACAGTTGTTATCACAGTATGCAACTATAATACAGTAGAACAGGACTATTATCCCAAAAATGGCTTATTCACACGTATTGGCAATAAGAAGTAAGCAAAAGTCTCTGACTCAGCCTGTAGTGGTGTTGGGGGTTCAGGGATCCTACAAAAAAGCCCGTAGATCTGCATCCCACAGAAGGAATTTCATTTTGCTGATTCTTTTAAAATAAAGCCTGAGAAAATAGATCAACTAAGGAAAAGATCAAACTAAGGAAAACAGATCAGCAAAGGAGTTTTGCTGAAGAATGTATAGAAGCCAGTTCGAGGAATGCCAGTTTTCATCTTTCAGACTTTTAAGTCCTTGTATACAAATCCTGGTTTTCCCCAGAAGAATGACCATAGTGGTTTTATACAGGGGGGAAGGGACATGGGTTTATTATATTAAGATGTTTTCTTAGACCGCACAACTTGATTAATTAAAGATCTTAAGCTGTAGCTACTGTTTCTCCCTAGGTGACAATAGTCGAAAAGGCAGACAGCTCCAGTGTGTTGCCCAGCCCGTTATCAATCAGCACGAAAAACAGAATGACGTTCCTCTTTGCCAACCTGAAAGACAGAGACTTTCTTGTGCAGAGGATCTCAGACTTTCTGCAACAAACCACTTCAAAAATATACTTGGAAAAAAATATTTGTGGAAGCTATATCAGCTCAGATGATGAGGTATGTGGAGGGATGTGAATCTCTTGCTAGAAGAAGGGGATTTTAACTGATATGGGGAGAGAGAAACCAGGAAGAACCTTTAAGTTTTTGTAAAGCTAAAGCTGTGTACACAGGGATGTTACCTCTTTTGTGTTAATGCCTTTAGCTTCTATAAGCTGAACAGCTAAAATGTTACAGTTGGGATATCTGTTTGTTTCATGTTAGATTCAAGCAGCATCACCGATGCTGTGGGAGAGCTACTCTAACTCCTGCTGTCACGTTTTGAAATTACAGTGGGGAAAGTCATAGTTAACTAACTGGTTAATTGGGTAATACTATTTAATATCTATGGACTTGTCCAAGTCAAAAAGTAATTGAGGAATTTTAATTATTTGAAGAAATGGTCAATTGATATGCAACTTCTTATTCGAGACTAGTTGCTAAAACTCATCCTTTGATTCTTCAGAAAACTGTGTGCACTGCTAGTGAACTTTGCAACACTTAACTAACAAAAAAAACCCCGAGAACCCTGTCCTGGACATCAGATGGTCCTATTCTAAGCTCCCTCCCTGTTCACCTGTGCGAAGTAAATGGTTCCTAAAAGATATGATTAGATAAGCTTTTCTCAGGCACTTGGAATAACAAAGCTTCTGCTGAATTCCTAGGTTTTATGTTTGAAATTTAGGTGCTTCATATCACAGCCTCCTCAAATCTGTTAAAACACAGCAAAGTTTAGCAGTTCAGATCTCAAAGCAAAAAAGGCTTTTGTGGTGTATCATTTTTGTTTTATGTAAGTACATCTCTCATTCGAAGCCTGTACTAAGCCTGACCTTAGAATTGCACTGAGTAGCCCCTACCCTGATTGTCACGCAAATCTTAAGTCAGTTTTTTTACTTGCATTGTTGATGGTGAGGTATGATTAGTGCGGTGTTGTGGTTGTGTATAGGTACAGTGCTCAAAGTTTCTCTTGCCTTTTGCCCTAAGTGAATCTGTGTATTCTACCTGCTAAATTGTAAACACAAATAATTGAAAGCATTATTATTCCATTTAGTAATATGACTACATATGTAGACATCCATGACTACTCATTTTGATTTCTGATGTCACAGATCTTATTGTGATAAATTTTCAGAGCTGTTTGAAAAGTCAAAAAAACCTTTTTCTTAAAAATATTTTTATTCCAAATCACAATCTGACAACATTGAATTTTAAGTGAGAGGAACAAAATAATTTATTTTGTGCATGTCTGTATAAACAGATATACAGATATAAACGTGTGTGTACATGTACACACACACACACACACATATACTTATAGGCTTTATATAAATCTTAACATTCCAAAGAGTCAAGGAGCTACCTGGGGAGTCAACACTCCTTTCATCCTGACAGGAGACCAAAGGAGCTGGTTTAATTGCCCAGGACTGCTTCAAGTTAACACTACTTTAGCAATTCTGATTACACGATTTGATTATGTGAGGGGAGGCCAATGAGAAACTGGAAAGAATTTCATTATACTAGTTTGCCTTCTGCTGTCTGTGCTCAGCCTGTGCATGTACCTGAGTGATTTAATTTACTCAGTTTCTGTTAGCTGGTAGCGCATATAAATTTTGAAGTAAAAGGAAGTAAAAAGCCCAGAGTCTGGCTCAGCCCCATGTCTCTACTGCTTGTGACTGCTTTCTGCAGGTGTTTACCAGATCAAGTAGTCTAATTTCTGCCAGCCCTCATAAAAGCCTCAGCTCTGAGTCGGAGGGAGAACGACAGTTCAACCTCAATGATAACGGCATTCCAACAGCAACTCAAGCTTTAATGACGATGTATCGGCGGAGGTCACCTGAGGAGTTCATACATGTACTGGTAAAATACACCTCAAATACACCTCGGAGTGCTGTACCTGACTGAAGAAGTTGTTAAATTACATTTTCTTTAAAATGCTTATTTCTGACCCAGAAGAGTTTTTCTGTCCCAGACAGTTAAGAGGTGGTATTTTCCACAGAAGTAAAGTGTTGAACATGCTGGTTTTTTACCAATACAAACAACTTCACTACATTAAAAAAAAAAAAAAATCAAAGTTGGAAGTAAATCAAGGAGAGGTTGTATGCCTGCTCTTAACTGCAGCTGCTTCAACAGTGTTCTTCTAACAGCAAAGTCTGCTGGGATAGAAATGGGAAGATGCAGCCCATTAAGAAGAGAATTGGACTGTAGCCAAGCTGTTTCTTGCTCACCTGGAAAGTTAGGACATTGCAGGCTTTTTAGCACTTAGCATTTCAGTGGGACGGAGTGTTAGAGGGAAGCTGCATCTTTATGCCTGCTTTTCTTTGCTTTTAGGCTAAAGAGTTTTTGAAGGAACAGGCCTGGAAAATTCACTTTGCTGAATATGGCCAAGGAGTCTGTATGTATCGTACAGAGAAAACCAGAGACCTTGTGCTGAAGGGCATTCCAGAAAGCATGAGAGGGGAACTTTGGCTGCTATTTTCAGGTAGGTATTAATTTGAACATGAATGGGGGAAATAAGCAAAAGCTTGAGGGAAGAAAGGATTTAAAAAATGTTTAAAGGTGCAGATAATAAGGATCTAAAAATATTTGGAGCAAGGCAGGCTGTGATTGTTAGCAGGCACCAGCCTGGTTTAGACAGGAGTTCTGTTTAGACCAGTAAATAACATTTCTCAAACAGGCTCAAATAATTAGGGAAGAATGTAAAAAAGCAGTTATTTTCAGAAGCAGAAATAGAGCTCTCAGGAGTTCCTGTCTAGCTTTTGGCTGAGATACCGTACTTTCTGCAACCAAGTGTTAATACACTCCCTACTCAGGGCAAGTAGCTTTCTCAGAGGCTTGTTCTGAGTTATTTAGGATAATCAAATCCACAGCCAGCTGCAGAGAGCTTATGATACCATGTGACTGCATAGCTGGTTTGTTCTTCATGCCTTCTGTTTTTCTCTGGCTGAAAGAGAGATTTTTATCTTCCTTTTTGTTTTGATTTTTTTTAACCTCATAAAATGCCTCTAGAGGAGAATACAAGGTGTAATGCCTCAATCACCTGAGCCCAGCTTTTTTTTTAATCACCTTTAAAAAAATAACGTTTCATATTTGCTTTTAAAATGCTTGTTGGTGACATTCAAGATGAAAGGGAGCAGAAGACTGGCATGCTGGGAGTGCTAGATACTCCATCTGCTAACCCTCGCTTTTTTCTTCCGGTTTTAATACTGCTCTCCCACCCTCAGGAGCCATAAATGAAATGGCCACTCATCCTGGCTATTACGAGGACCTAGTGGAGAAATCAATGGGGAAGTACAATCTTGCTACAGAAGAGATAGAGAGGGATCTGCACCGCTCCCTTCCAGAACACCCTGCGTTCCAGAATGAGATGGGTATTGCTGCTCTGAGGAGAGTCTTGACAGCTTATGCATTTAGAAATCCAAACATAGGATATTGTCAGGTATTTGAAATACCTTGGTTCTCCTTCAGTTTCTGGAATTACGGTTCTTTCCTTATACTCCTGTTTCTTCAGTCATGTACACGACTATTTGGCTGTATAAAGTATGCGGATACATGTATAATGCTGTGGGGTAAAGCCTTAGTGCTGCGGAGCTGCAGTAATGCTGAGGTCAGGGGGTTTGACACAAGGACCTACTCTAACAGAAGCATTAGCAGTGCATGCTGAGAGATGCGCATAGTTTTCTGTAAGCGTATTTTCTGCCCCTAAGTGTGGAGAGTGGACAGATGATAACGGAGCTGTCCTGAAGTGCACCTACAGAAAATGACAACTGGACCCTGAAGAAAGGTTCTTGTCTATTAAAATGTGGGCAAAACCCACAGTCACACACCTTGGGTTTTGGTCCATGGCCTTCAAACTACTGATTCACAGTTAGAGTGAGAATTCAGGCACTGAAGTATTTCATATGTGGCAGACAAGATAAAAGGAAATAGCACAGACTTTGACAGAGTTGTAACGTTCTGAGGTTTCAGTTGAAACCTTAGTTGCCGCTTCAAACAGGAAACGATCGAGCTGGAGTCTTAATGTTACAGGATCTGAAATGAGCAGCTAATTCCTTAAGAGGCAAACTGAGAAGAAAATGGTACTGAAATACTTGAAATGGAGTGAAACAGGCCATAAAAAACCTGTCATGTGCACAGTCAAACGTGAAGAGCGAGCAAGAGCAAGAGGCTTTGTTTCACTAGGCTCTGGTTGTTCATGACTGACACAGGCATTTCCTCAGCTCACAGTTACTGTGTCTGGACCTTTTTGTAGGAGCAGAAAGCAGGAGGAGCGCAGACCGCCTCTGCAAGGAGCGGTACAACGGCAGCCATATGTAGTGCTGTAGGAGGCATTTGGTCTGCATCAGACCCCAAGTCCCCAGGAGCACCTCTTGGCGGAATATCAGTAGCGGTGTACCTGGATGCTTGTAGACCTGAGGAGGCCCTTGACTATGAAAAGGAATTTAGATACATCTATTTTTTTGTGGTTTATTTGAGGCTTTCTTAAGTGTTCCTTTGAGCACTGGGAAAAGACTGCCTGCTGTTTTTACAGGAAAATACTTGAACATTTTGGGGTCTGCAGGGGGAGATGTAGCTAATTTCCTAACCATAGTAACTACTTATCTGCCCAGTTACGGTGTTAGATATTGAATAAATGGGTCTAGCAATTTCTACTTCTCTTTCTTTTAGGCTATGAATATTGTCACTTCAGTACTCCTCCTTTATGCTAAAGAGGAGGAAGCTTTTTGGCTGCTGGTGGCTCTGTGCGAACGCATGCTACCTGACTACTACAACACAAGAGTTGTTGGTATGTTATGGGGAAATTGTTTTAAATGACAGTACAGAAAGTCATCAAATTAATTGGTATCTTTTTGTATTGAAACAAGCGTAGATCGTAGATGTATGTATGGTATAGGTACAAGTGTGATTGCCAGTGGCCAGACTTCTGTGCTTAGAACCATAGAGGCAATTCCCTAAACAGATACTGTAATAGTTAATAGTTTTTCACTTTCTTAGGATTAGTTGGCATTCTAAAGTGGGCTTAAACAAAGTAAATAAAAGAGTTGAGAGACTAAAATTTGAGTTTTAGATGATCCAGTTATCAAGTTAAGGTGGAAACAGGAACTTTGGCAATTTGCATTAGGAGTGTTTGTGCCTGTTTACCTCTGATTTGAAAGGGCACAAGTATCCGAAAGCTGCTGTTGTTGGATGACAGTTTCTTTGTGCCACATGGAAGTGAATGGCTCTTAAGTTATCCTGGAAACCGTCTTTACTGTAGCTCACAAATGCTTGAGGTACTCATTCAGGCTTAGAAATTATTTTTGCTGGCCTGCTTAAAACACTGATGTTATGGCATAGATGTGTATAACGCAGGGTTCTCTTGAAATAAATCCAAATTCTCACAGTCACCCTGGTCTCCTCCAACAGAGATGCTGAGAAGTCCTGTTCTAATTAGTAATGGAAAGTACTAAGCCATCGTATAACCTGTGTAGGTGCTAGACCAAATTGACCTTTTGTTAGCTCTTGTGAAGTGTATAATTAAAAAAGTTCAATTTGTATGTACAGCTCAGTAGTGGAATAGAATCTGTTATTTATCTGAAAGTGAGAAAATCTGTGTAAGCATCATGTAGCATATTCTTTGGGTTTTGTATTTATATATATATACAGTGTATGTATATATATTTTTCTCCCCTAAATGGTGATGTGGTCAATTGCTCCTGAATTAATGGACATCCAACCTTATTTATTTTCAACAGGAGCATTGGTGGATCAGGGTGTCTTTGAAGAGTTGGCTCATGACTATGTTCCACAGCTTTATGACTGCATGCAGGACTTGGGTGTGATATCCACCATTTCCCTGTCCTGGTTCCTCACTCTTTTCCTCAGTGTAATGCCTTTTGAGAGTGCAGTGGTGGTGGTGGATTGTTTCTTCTGTGAAGGAATAAAGGTGATATTTCAATTAGCACTCGCTGTCCTCGATGCTAATGTAGACAAGCTGCTGAACTGTAAAGACGACGGAGAAGCCATGACAGTCTTGGGAAGGTATTTATTACAGAAAATAGTCTCTTTTTTTTTTTTTTCTTACTTTTCTGATTTGTGTTATCCTGTGTTAAAATACTCGATTTAGTCCCGTACAATATATGTAAATTTCATAGTCCCCTTTCACCCATATAAGGTACTCCTTACATTATCTCAAAATAATTTTAAGTGACCAGCAAGATACAGATTCTTCTTTCAAGACGCTCAAACTTCCCAAACTCTGTTATAGAACCTTATTCTGGTTGATTTAGTTGGTTACGTGGGTTTTGTTACTTCATCTTTTGCCTGCTACCTTTTAAATGCTGCTGAGGAAAAGCCTTGATCTCAAGGGAAATTGTTTTGGGAACAGACTGAACAGAAGTCAGAAGAATTAAGTAGGCTCTTGAATGAATAGATTCCAGTGAAACAGGAGGCTGATAAATAGACTGGATTGAGTCATTTAATACAAAACTCTGATGTTTGGTGGGAGTGTTTCGTTTTCAACATGCTGCTGAAACTTTGGAATTTTCCTTTCTAGTGTCATTATTATAGCCTTAGTGATGACTGGTTTTAATTTCTTTGGGATTAAAGGCAATGGTGGTTGTATTTCTCTGAAGTACGCCCCAGTGCTTGCTGAGGATTTAAGTGTTCTGCAGCTGCGGGGTGGAAGACAGATCATCTACAGGAGCTACACCGGTGGGAGGAACAAGCTCTTTAAAAAGCTCCTTGCAGGCAGGTTGGGCAGGAGTAGGGCAGGGTGGTATGTAGACTAAAGCACACTGACCCTTGTTCCCATGGTGTCACACTTCAAACAGCCAGAAGCAACAAACCTGTGCACTGAGCCACTCAATTGTGGCTAGCTAAATTTGAGCAATTTCTTGATAAGGATAATGAATTACCAGGGTTTCTTTAGCTCTTTCAGAAGAAACAGTGTTAGGATTTGGCAAATTACTGAAGTAAAAAATTATGTAGCTCAGCAGAGAGTGGCTCGATCTTTTTTACGTTTAGTATCTCTACATAACCTTTATTCTGTTAACCCTCAGAAGGGAGGGGGTACAAATGAGTCTTGGGTTTCTCATTCCTTTTTTCTTTCTCTCCCCACCAGGTATCTGGACAGTGTAACTAATAAGGACAGCACTCTTCCACCCATTCCTCATCTTCACTCCCTGCTCAGTGATGATGTAGAGCCTTATCCTGAGGTGGATATCTTCAGACTCATCAGGTCTTCCTATGAGGTAGGATAGGATTTCTTAACAGGAACTTCTCAACCCACATTAGTTCTACTTTACAGGAGAATTTGGTACTCTATAGTCTGGCTTTTCTTGGAACTAAAAGAATGTAAAAGAAATACAGGCTCATCTGGGAAATCTGAAATGGGGCAGGGGAGAGGGTTTAGTCTTTCATTTTCTTCTAACCAGAACTTTTAATTGGAGCTGTTTTATATAGAAGGCTGCAACATCAAGGGAGAGCAACCCACAACCAAAAAGTGATTTACAAACAAAAGGCCTAACTTTGTAATTCAAAAAAGGTTCATTCTCATCTAAGCTTTTTCATGCTTTTCCAAACTGAGATATTAGTGAAATCTGTGATTTCAGAAGACCTTTCTAGTATCCATGGAACTTTGTTTCTTTTACTTCCTTTTTTTTTTCAGCAAGTGGTGATTATGACCATGGGCCGCTACCTTCTGTATTATCACCAAAGCTAAAAAATATGAAGTGAAGGGAGCTGGTAATAATTAATATCTGTAAAGCACAGGACAAAGCTGCAAAAGAACCCCTAAAATTTGCAAGCTGGTTTCATTTTCCTTAAATTTTAAAAATAAGCCATCAATTAAAATATCCCTGATAATTACACTGCCATACTAATTTTTTATAAAAATTAAAGAATCACTTTCAAGAGGTATGCTCCTTAATTTCCTTTTCTTCCTTCCATTGACATGCATGGTAAATCAGTATTTTTAGCTCAAGGTGTAGGTTCATACTTAGCAATATGGCAGCTGTTTCAGAGGCTCTTCCCGTGTTCCTAAAACCTTGCTTCAGTAACGTGATACCTATTTAACAAGGAGGTAGGTAGTCCTTAGTGTATTCTATGCTGAAGGGCAAACTGAGTCAAGTTAGATGTGTAGTTCTTCTCCTTCACACAACGTTAGAATGGGGAGAAGGTTGTTGGTGTGAAGTTCTGTTTCCCGGGTATCTTTGTGATTCTTCTCATCCTGAAGACAGCTTGCCTTGGCTTAACTGCTTTTAGATGAATAACCTGACTCCATGCAGAGCCAGCCTGTCTTTCTTGGGCTTATGCAGCACAGAACCTTGTGCTGCTCATTCTAGATAAATAACTAGCGGGAGTGAAGAACTTCAAGGAAAGCAGGAGTTTGTTGCAAAAAGAGAATTAGTTTCAGGAGAGTCGTTATTGTTGGTTGCTTTGGTTACTAAAAAACCACCCCACAACTCAGTAGTAAACTATCAAGATAAACTTCAAGGCATCTGTCATTCAGTGACTGCTACATTCCTCAATTAGCTGTGTGTAGTCCGGGTTGGGAACTAGCTATGTTACCTTTGCTGCGACTACGAATAACAAAATATTGAGTAAGTGAGCGTATCTTGGCTATTTTCAGAACTTAGGCTGGTGAAGGTACTTGCTGGGTAACCATCTATCCTTCATCCTCTAGTCATTTACTGTTTACAAAAAAAATAGGAAGACCTACAACTGAAAAAATTGCTTCCCCCTCACATATCCAAAGGAGAGAGGAAACCGTATCCCTTGCAGGCTATCCTAGATATTTGTGTGGGAGCGTGATGAGCCTGGGAACTTTGGTGAAGGAGTAGCACTGGCGAAATCCAGTATTTGAATACTGGATGAAGAGCTAGTTTTTGTCACTCTCTGATCCTGTCCAACTCTTCGGTAATCATGTCAGATGCATGTATGGGAAGTCTCCAGTGAAAACTGAAGGGGTGCTGAGGAATTTTTTTGGTCATTAAGTGATTAGCACCCTTCTCTGATATTGAGCTGACTTTCTACTTTTTTAAAAGGGAAACATTCTCGAAACAAGAGAATATACATAACATTTTTTCACCCCGCCAGTAATTTTTTCATTTACTGAAAATACTTTTTGGTAAGAAATCTCTTTTCATTCAATTTTGCAACTAATTCAGACACCATAAAGTCTGGCATTACAACAATGACAATAGAAGTGACTGAAATAATGCATAATCACCACAGCTTTAAAAGCTTGCGTATAGCTCACTAGCTGTCAGTGGAGCGTGGACTCAGATGTTCAGAGCTGTTATGCAATTAACTCCTTTGATTTGAGTGTTAGTTAATTTGGAAAAAAAGTAGGCCTTAAACACTTAAGTTACGTCTATTGTAGTACCTGGATCTTGGCCATTTTAACTAAACAACTGACAATCCAAGGTCTGGACTGTTAAAAGGCTTGATACAGTTTTGACCGAGAACAAGCGACACGCTTCCAACAAATCCTTGCGTGATTGGAAAGTTGACATGGGCAGGAGGCCATTCCCAGAAGGTAATTGCATGCAACCTTCCTTTTCTGTAGGCTACGTGAGTTTTAGTTGCATGGACGTGAGCAGACATCTCATTTGACCTCCAGACCAGAGGATAAGCCCTGGAATAGATGTGGTCTCAGAGCCTCTTTTTCCAAGGTTTTGTGACCTCTCTGACGTTTAATATTCATGGATGTTTATCTAGATTCCATTTTTTCAAGATGTCTTTATTTGCAAAAGATTCCAAGTACACGAAACATCTTTCTACTCCTGAGATGCATGATAAAAGTGCAAGTAAGCATCACAGCCTAAGCGTTAATTTGATCACACTAGAATGTGTGAGGAAATTATGACCTGCTTATGTACATGCACTTGCACTGGAAATATAAATTCATCCTGTATGAATGTGTGTCTCGCCACCCCCTTTTATTTTTACACGTGGCATATTCGATGTCTGGGGCATTGTTGTTCCTGCCGGTCATCTGTGCGTTCTGAGAACGTGTTTACAACTGTTCTCTTGAGGGCAAAATACTTCTACTTAGAGTTCACAAAAAGAAATCTTAGGGATTAGGCATTCATCTACATATGAAAACACGGAATATTATTCCTAATAGGTTTTCCCCTGGGTTGCTTCTGTAGTATATGCAGGAGTCCCCTGAGACTGTTATGTGCATTGTGAGTGAAAAAAACAACCCACCACCAAACTTCTGGAAATAAGACTTGGGCACTTGAAAGAGCCTTCCTAAGGGAAGTTGCATTCTTGATGCTTGGTTTCAGATCCTCATGAATGTAAGGACCGCTGTACTGTCTCAGCTGTTAGAGATCTAGTTAGTCAAAATATCTTTGCTCTCTGTAGCAATTGAGAGATTCCAGAGCAAGCTGAAATAAAGCCCTGCAGAAGGAGTTATGTAACTGTCTATTCATAGAGATTTGCGAAGGAAGAAGTTTCTAACTACTGAGATTATGGCTGTAATGTGAGGGTTTGTAACTTAATAAAGACTTTTCTAATTAACTAAAAATAAGTTACTGGGACTAATAACATCTAGTGATATGTTGCTAAAGTTTTTGTAAATTTGTCATGTGTTAGAGAAAATGCCTTAACAACAGGTTTTTAACCATACCATTTGTGGTATATTGCATAATTAAATTAATTTCTTTAAAGGTGAGCTAAGTATTGTAAATACTAATGCACAGACTATCCTGTACTTCTTTTTCCCTAAAGAAATTTGGAAGTATCCGAGCAGATTTAATTGAACAGATGAGATTCAAACAAAGGCTGAAAGTTATCCAAACCCTTGAAGATACTACGAAGCGCAATGTAGTAAGTTCTGAAATAATGTTCTTTGCAAAGATTAAGGTCAGTCAGCTTCTGATATTAGCTTTTGAATGAGACATGGATTTCAAATCTGTAACTGTTACTGTTCTGTTTCAAAAGGTACGAACTATTGTGACAGAGACTTCTTTTACTATCGATGAACTGGAGGAACTGTATGCTCTTTTCAAGGTAGAGCTAAGTGAAGATAAATGTCGTGTGTGCCTGCAGGAAATGGGAACGTTTATTTTTGATGTGGGACTGCTTTTTTTCTTAAGTCCAGGTTGACTCTGAGTTACTTACTCTCAGGCACCTTAATGCAAATTTGAATTAGCTGCTGTATTATTGAATATACAAAATAAAAACCCAAGCAGTTTTTAAAAGCTCAGGAAATAAGTAATTCACTGAATGATTTGTCCACGGGGAAAAAAAATAGTATACTGATGGAAACTGTTGTAATGAAAAAGTGAAAGTATAGAATCTTGTGATCAGTCTGCAGAAATTTACGTGTCTCTACCCAAGTTTTAGAATGTAGCACAAAAATACCTTTATTCTATTATCTCAGACAATTAATGTGACAATAGCTGATTTTTGCCATTGTTAATGCTTTAATGTATACAGTCATGTGTCTTTAGGTTGATTGTACAGCAATACCATTAGATACACAAATTTAAAGATGAGTAGTTAAAATGCTTTAGCTTCACCTTCTTGCACAGTGCCTTAAAACAAGATACTTCTGTTATAACAGCTTTTTTTTGTGTACCATGAAGAATGTCTTTCCTTTCAATTTCCCGTCTGTAATGTCAGGTCTTACAGTTGTCCAAATCCTGCAGTGCCTTCTTTCAGTCTTCCTCTGGAATCAGTGAGACCCTAGCTGATCACTGTGCAGTGGTAGGATCTCTTTCTCTAAGCTTCTGAATCATTTTGAATTAGATTCCACTGAAATCAGCTCCAGAACTTTCACTGACTTCAGTAAGACTGGAAGAGTAGGACTTTATACGATATTTTTGAGACTGTACAGTCCAACAAAAAATATTACAAAAAAACAGCTATTTTCGTGTGCTCTGAAATTAAAGATCTCATGAGTCCCCTTTCTGACCTGGCTGTGTGGTGAGGCTGGAGGGGGTGACTGAGCACAACAAGCCAGTGTATATATGCAAGCCACCGCTGCTTACGGCTCTGTTCAGAACAGGTGTTTTATGCTTCATCTGCCTGGGAGGCAGAAAACATTTTGCTTTATCTTTTTTTTTTGTAGAGGCATGTCATCTTGTGCTGGCTGGGGGAGAAACCTTTTGCAGAAGTGCAGGGTCTAGATAGACAGAAACACATCTGCTGGTCTTGTGTTGTTTTAAGCATGTGTGTGCACGAGTTGTTTGGATGGGTGTTTATTTTGTGGTTGATAGCAATTAGTTGTTTACAACGGTGGTGATGATCTCACAGCATTTGCCTTCTGTTCAGGCAGAACATCTGACTAGCTGCTACTGGGGAGGAAACAGCAATGCCATTGACCGGCATGATCCCAGCCTGCCTTACCTGGAGCAATACCGTATTGACTTTGAGCAGTTCAAGGGGATGTTCGCTCTCCTCTTCCCTTGGGCATGTGGAACTCATTCTGACGTATTAGCTGCACGCTTATTCAGGCTTCTGGATGAAAACGGAGACTTGCTCATCAACTTCCGTGAATTCGTCTCTGGTCTAAGTAAGAATTCACAGCACACTCAAAGTAATGTCACCAAACCAGTTTGTTTCTAAAGGGGATCCAGTCCTTCAGAAACACAAGTGTTATGTCAGCTATCAGATTAAATTGAAAGTGGGGAGGTTTAGGCTGGTCTCAGTAGGTGCATCTACATTGGCCACTGGTGTGTCACACTGGGGGAAGGACCACATGTGAACTAGGCGTCCGTTGGGGTCAGAGGATTTCCCTGACCGCTAACTCTCACCACAAAAGTGACCTGCAACGTACGTGCTTAATGGAGTGGTTACTTCTAATCAAAGGATTTCCTCTGGGAAAGTCTCTTTTATGTTCTTCTGTAGTGTTCCTCTCTCTGTGACACTGCATTTGGTTATCTGCTCCTTAAGCTTTTCCTGAAAGTTGGGAATTTATACCTTTTGTCAGTGCTACCAGCTCTGAAAAGGGGAGAGAGGAAACACTTCCTCCCATGGTTGTTCAGGAAGAAGACCTTTGAGAGATGTGTGTGCACATACAAGGGGCAGGGGAAGGATAGAGTGAGGATGCTAGTTTTGTGTGCCATGGAATAAAAGGGCTTCTCTTCAGAAGACTGCTCACACCCCACGTACATGTGTCCCTCTGTGAGGGGAAGGTGCTGCACCTCACAGTGTATGCAGTGAGACGTGCTACCTGTATTACTTGTGAAATCAGTAACCAGGACTGCAGACTAAGAGAGTGCTGGAGGGACGTCACCTGAAAAGGAGAAAGTGGAGCTGCATGTTAGATGGGGAGGCTGAATGTCATTAATGGAAATTACGGCCCATGCAAGTCTTGAAGAAGCAAGATTTTAGGACGAGAAAGTCAGTATTGCAACAAAGGGAATATGCAAGACCCAGGATTAACATGACAAAGCCAAGATGAGGTGGAGCTGGCCACCCCTTGTTTGAACATAGCAGGAATTATTCCCTGTAAGTGACCAACATCTCACCATCTATTGTGTTATTTCCTGGCAACCTCCGCTGTTTCCTCCACTGTGACCCTATTTGAGAAAGAAAAGATTTCCCAATCTGGCTTTCAGCAGCTCTGCACCAGTATGTTTAGGCATTAAGGCTCCACATGCAGCCTTGCACTAAAACCTCTGTACAGCAGTGGTAGCCCCTGTTCTTTTGCAGGGGCAGAATAGCTGTGTGGCATTAACGACGGTTGCACACCACCCCAAAAACCAGTGCTTCCTATGATGCAGGTCTGAGTTGTATTGGAGGGACTGTTTGCCAGGTAGCTCTTAGCGGCCTTTTGAGACATGACCCCTGGTTTAACCACTCTTGCTGCTTACAGGATGCTGTTAACAATTAACAACCACTTACTGGTTGAGACAGCATGTTTTAGAACCAATGATGAGTAACAAAAATAAGGAACAGGGTTGAGCACTGTCAACAGAAATAAGTGTAAAATGCACAAATGTGGCTTTTTTTTTTTCCCCCCTGAAAACAGCTTTTCTCCATGCACTGGAGGATGCTGAGAAAGCAGAGTGAGGGTGTTAACCTCACCACTCCTCCGATCCTTCCAGGGAGCTGTACAAACAGTCTGCACCCCTCCACCTGTGTTCAAGAGAGGGGCAACTGCAGCTTTTATTTGCTGTTAAGTTTTGTATTAAGAGAAGAAAGTTTTAACCTGCTTAATTACTTTGTTAATGGCCTCAAAGAAGACAGGGGAGAAACTGTGCACGTATGGCATGATGCCCACAAAAGACTTGACACCTGAGTAGTGTTGACAGAAGGAGAACAGTCAGAAAGGGAGCTCAGGGGTTCCTAGTAATGCCATGAAAAGAGGTGTGGTGGCCAAGCCCTTAGAGAGGGGTAAGAGCAGGCGTATGTGAGGACATTGGTTGCAGTGTGAGGGTGACAGCTTTGACTGTTGCCTCAAAGGGTGTTTGTTGCGGTTTAACCCCAGCTAACAATGAAGTATCACAGTTCTTCAAATTCAAATGGTGTAGCCATACCATCTTCCAAGCACAGTTCCTTCTCTAACCACAAAATAAATTTAAAACTGCTGGATAAACACTGGCGATGCATCATCTGAGACTTGTACTGCAGAAAGACAAGACTCGTTCAAAGTTGTTGAAGGTTTTAAGACCCATGACTCCAGAGTGCCAAGAAGGAAGTATTTCTGGTTGAGACTAAGGACGGTTTTACCACCTCCCCGGTGCTGTTCACAGGCCCTCAGCAGGGTCATCTGTTTGCTGCTCAGGCGTGCAGGGGCTGTGCAGGAGGCTAGTGAATCTCTGGGTCTCTGAAATTATCCCTGGACCACGGCGTGCAGGTCGAAGTGACGGCCTGAGCTGCAGCCATACAAAGGTCTCCCCTGCCTCTCCATAGTAGGGGCACACCTACCAGAGGACTGTTCCTCTTCTGTTGTCTTTATGAATGTAGCCGATCGTTGTTGTTGTATAGTACAGCATCAGCCCTCAGATCTTGTGTAGCCTGCTGCAGCTAACCGTCAGGCAGGTCCTGCAGATTGGCAGTAGGCTCTTCTTCCTTTGTAAACATTCTGACCTCTCCCTAGGGTGACCCAGAGGGTTGTTGCTGAGAGAGTCCAGGGAACGTCTTTGGTAGACTTATTCCACCCCGTGTTTTCTTCATTCACGTATGTTTTGAGGGGCAGAAAGGATGGGCATTCAGAAGCACACACAGATTCATCCCAGGCAAAAAGCAGTAGCAGTTGACCTTTTTCAGTCCTCTTCACACGTGGGGACAGGGAGAGGAACGAGCCTGTATGTGTCACCCGGTGTCCTGAATCCTGTTGCATGCATCCCTAGCCGTTGCTGGAGGACGCAGAACTGCAGACCATGCTGTGCTTGGGTGGTTTTGTGGCGCCTTTAGCAGCTGGGCACTTCACGTGGTGCCTGGATACACAGCCTGAGACATAGCTTCACCCGAAGAGAAAGCCTTACCCGCACGGCGTGCTACACCAGGTAGGAATGTAAGGAACCAAGTTGAAAGCAAATGGGCTAATGCAGATGTACTCAATTCTTTGGCCTGACATCTGTGTTCGTTGTAGTCTTAAGCGTTACGGTAGACTCTGATGGTTAGTATTTGCCAAACCCCACTTCGTAGTCTGCGTAGCAGGGGTAAGTTGATGTGGTAGCCTGCAAGGTAAAATAAATGTGTAACCTAATTAACAAAGGTTAATTCATTTGTTTATGAATTGCATATCATAGCAAGTGAGATTTACGAAGATTCACTGATTATCAGTTATTTCAGTACTTTAAAGTTAACTAATATCCGTTTAATTAATTGGAAGGGGGCTTACAGGATACCACTTAGATTTTTCATACAGCTAATTGTAGTGTAGGCCAGAGAGGAGTAGGGGTTGAGGTGGGTAAATCACTAGAAAGTGTTGCCTGAACATCAGCTTAGCCCATGGCTAAGCTGTGATAAATAGTTTACTTGAATTTCTCTCTCTTAATACATCTCTTACTGTTCTAAATCATGTGATGTTACTGCTGGATCCTCAGATAAGAAAGTTTGAAGTCCACATAAGTCTTAACTTTCCGCTGGAGGCCTTTCTGAGTGGTAGTGTGGTGATCATAGACTATTTTTGACCATTATAACATAGACATTTAATGCAGGACCCATAACTGGAGTACGCAAATCAGGGTAAGGTGGTCTGTGTTCTCTTGTTCTGGTGCAGACCGTATGATCTCAGAAGTCAAGCGACTGCCATATGATCTCAGGCTATAAAGGGAGTACAGTGCTTCCCAGAGCGCTTGTAGCAGCTTCTGAAATGAGGTATTGTAGCAATGATAAACAGAACGTCATCGCGTGCTGGGTATTAACATGTTGTATGTAATACTACTTAGGTGCAGCATGCCATGGAGATCTTACAGAGAAGCTGAAGCTACTGTATAAAATGCATGTTTTGCCTGGTAAGTGAGTGATGTTAAAGCAGCTGCCGTCTCAGTGAGAAGGGAAACTGGGAGCAGAGTTGTTGATGACTAGCTTTCCCAATTAAAAATTAATTTGTGGGAATTATTGTAGCTGTTTATGCAGCAGTAAGAGACCTTCTCCCATAACCAGACGTGGATTGGAAAGTCTGAAAGCATCCATGGAGCCATGCTCTTGCTCCAGCCACAAACAGGCCATTTGTCTGTGCCCCTTGCCTGTTTAGCTGCGGTGTGTGACTTCCTCCATGCATAACAAATACAGTGCTCTTTATTTAACTAGGAAGCTAGCTTACAATGTTCCTGCATGCCCTGGCTACTTAGTTCTGTGCCCAGGCTTGCTGCTTGATTTCCCATCTGGGCTGATACAACTGTTTGCAGAGGGAGGCTCCAGATTGTTTCATAGCTGAGTTTTCCAGGGAGCTGTGCGAACTGTAGGACTCAGCTAAGTGAGAAAGGCAGTTTTGGGTGGAGAGAGGATAGAAGCATCTCAAAACAGTTTTACCCCAGAAGAAAATGATGCCCTGGAACTATGCGCTCTCTGGCTTGTCACACGTGTCCCATGAAGAGCCTATTGCTGTCCTTGGGATTTAAGGATGTTGCAGCCGTTCAGGTAGTTTAATTCTCGTGCACATCCTCTGGTAAAGAGATGTAAAGCTTTGAGAGGACATTCACTTTCATGTGCTTTAAACATGTGTGTCCCCAGTTGCTCCCTGCTGGCTTTGCTGGAGGTAGGCTTGAGTGACTCACTAATTTAGCTGGGGAGAAAAAACCCCAATTTTATTGAACTATAACAGAAGAGATCCATTTTTAAGAACGCAGCTTCTGGTATTAAGGGGGCTGGTGAGCTTGTGCCAAATCATGACAGACTGTTTCCAGCTGGGAAAGGGTTTGTACCCTGCTGAGCTGCACGGAAGAAAGTAATGGAAGTAGATGTGGATGTGGGAAGGTGGGGAAGGCTGCCTCTTGAAGGTAAACAGCTACTTGTTAGTCAGACAGTATTGGGTAGTGTGGAGGAGACCGTACAGGTCCGGTTGTTCATCTCGTGTGAGCTGAAAAGAGATGATGCCTAACCCATCACATCCTCACACTGCTAGAAACTGACATTCTAAATCTATCAGTGGAAATATGTTCTAGCTTTTAATTAAAGGGTGGCATTTTTAATGAAGGAATTTTATTATATTGCTTAGATCCATCCCCTGAGCAAGAGGAGCCAGACTCTGCTTTTGAGGCCACTCAGTACTTTTTTGAAGACATCACACCAGAATGTACACACGGTAGGCATCTTCTGTCTCGGGCATGAAAAGGTGAGGTAATGCATTTCAGACAACATGTCTTCATAGGAAGGCACTTTTTTATTGGGTTAAACTTTGCCAGTGAAGTATTCTCTCCAAAAAGAAGTATGTCCTCTGTGTGTATATCCTTAGTGGTGCAGGCCTGTGTACACTGACAACTCCCCGGCATTGTGCGTTGCAGAAGTACTCGGAGTAACGTCATCAGTGTGTTGCAATAGAAGTAATTTTGTGATAAGTGCAGCATGTATGCCTTGATGGAGAATGAGAATAAATAGGCTTTTAAATCCAAAAAGGCTTTCAAGACATATTTGGATCAGAACTTAAAATATTCTAAAAAAGCTGAAGCCGAAAGACAGATCAGAATGTATTTCAGTAGTTTGAAATCTTTTTGCTCCCTAATGAGAACCTGGGTCTCAGCGCTGTTGTCCTAAATGGCATTCTCTTTCTTGAGATATTTATTTACATTTCTCTACGAATCAAGAAAAAGACTGCCCATCCTTCAGCTTTCAGGGGGAAGGAAGTTTATTTGAAAATACAGATAAGAGTTAAGACGAGACATGGCAGTTTTAAGTCCTGATAGACAAAAGAAGATGCACGCATATGATCACCAGACATCTGTCACGCCAGAAGCTGTTGGTGTGGTGATAACAGCGGCGAACCACTCTACTAACAAACAAAACCTGAGATGGTCCCGTCTCAGTATTTGTTACTCATGACATGGAATTTGGCAGTAGATTAAGAATAGGCAAAAACCGTCGCTTAATCCCATCCTTTTTACGCTGTGTTTTTTGCAGTGTAAAAGTTTTCTGTATTTTGCACTGCACACGTGAGGAGTGTTGTGTGTATCTAAAACCACGCTGATCTCTCTCTCCCCCCCGCCCCTCCACTTCCTAGTTGTTGGCCTGGACAGCAGGAGCAAACAAGGAGTAGATGATGGGTTTGTTACAGTGAGCCTGAAAACAGAGAGAGGTATGCACGGTGTCTCCATCCGCATTACATGTTTTGTTTCGTGTAAAGATGCTCCTGTTGAAAATGGAGAAAAAAGTATTAACTTATATTTCTTAATGGCCTTTTCCTGCATCCCTGGGTACTGTTGTTGACAGTAGGCAAGAAGAGCTCACAGGAGAATCGAAATTACCTGAGGATGTGGAGCCAAGAGAATAAATCCAAAGCAAAAAACGCAAAGGACTTGCCCAAACTGAATCAGGTACTTCTGCTGCCACTTACTTATTTTTCATCAACTTAAACTTTCTTCACATGTCTGTAAATATTCAACACATTAATGCTGAAGAGAGGTTTTATTTTGAGGCAGATACTTTTTTACCAGAGCAGCAGTCAGCTGATTACAGAAGTTGTTTTCAACATACTGGGACTGGCATTCAGCCCCCAAAACATCCTCAAATGAGATACGCGTTTATAGGAGTGATAACATGCTGTTGTGATCCCTAGACAGAGGGGTGATACGACCCAGCTAGCTCATAATGTCAGACACACGTGACCTGAAGGAAGTATTTTAATGTTTTGTAATTTATACCGTCAGTCTCATTCCCCTTGGATCCATAGCTGCTGAGGGGGAGGAGACCCACTGGGACAGCTGTTCCCTCCAGAGCACATGCCCCTAGAACAATGCTTCTTACTTAAGGTAGCCCTAAGCACATCTCTTTCTTATTTAATTTGTGAGGTTTGAATTCCAGAAGGCTGACATCCAACTAAGTTACCACTGTCAATCAAAAGAGCGCTGCAGGTCTCGTATTTCATTTTCCATAGCTTCTCCATGGTTTTATCAGACCCCTGGTTACACCTGGCATCAAAATCCACCCAAGCGAATGCTCTGTCTCACTGCTCACCCTCTGCTGCCCTCCCGTGGCTGCAGGGAAATAGATGCCATATGTCGGAAGAAACATCCCGCAGTTTATCCTGAACAGCTCTGGGAGAGGCAACATACCTGGTCCCGGGTCACAGCAAACGCTGCCTACACTGCGCCTGGATTGTTCCCAATTTCTGCCTAATCACACCGTTTTGTCAAACCTCCATTCCAGGCTTTTAAAACGGATTGTTAGGAAACAAATTTCAGTTTGTTTCCTGCTCTCTCATTAATGTTCCCTCCCTCTGTGTTTAGGGGCAGTTCATTGAACTGTGCAAGACCATGTACAACATGTTCAGCGAAGACCCCAACGAACAAGACCTGTACCACGCCACCGCTGCCGTCACCAGCTTGCTTTTGGAGATAGGGGAGGTTGGTAAGCTTTTCAGCATGCAGCCCCCGAAAGAGACGGACGGCGGCAGCAAGACTGTTCAGAGCGAGCTGTTTCAGAAGAAGGACCACCAGCAGTACCCCCTTGAACAGCACAAGCCGTTCCAAAGCAGCCTCGTTGCCAGCGACGAGGAGGCCGCTTGCGCCGACAACGCCCTGGGCATGCAGATGGAAGACATTAAGCTCGAAGATTCTTCTCCCAGGGACAACGGAGCCTGTTCTTCCATGCTCATTTCCGATGACGACACAAAAGACGATAGCTCGATGTCCTCCTACTCGGTGCTGAGCGCAGGCTCGCACGAAGAAGAGAAGCTGCACTGCGAGGACATCGGTGAAGACACCGTTTTGGTACGGAGCAACCACACCACTTCTCTTCGCAGAAGCACGAGCATTGACAGGGACTGGGCCATCACCTTTGAACAGTTTTTAGCCTCCCTTTTGACTGAGCCAGCCCTGGTTAGGTACTTTGACAAGCCTGTGTCCATGATGGCCAGGATTACTAATGCTAAAAACGTGAGGATGATGGGGAAACCGATAACCTCAGCCAGTGACTACGAAATCTCTACTATGTCGGGATGAAAGGCAGTCAGGTTTTTTATTTATTTTTTTAATTCTGTATTTATTAGTACCTGGCATGGGCCCTGGTATTTTCAAAACATGATTGTTTTCACTAATGTGAAAATGTTGGGGTGTGAACTTAACTATCTTGAGGCATAATCACTCTTTCTGTGGGAAATGTTACACAAACGCAAATTTTAATCAAAATACAAAAAAACCCACCCCAGTTGTCAGTGAAGTGTGTGTATGATTAACCTTGCTGTCAATATAAAATGGTAAAGATTAGTTCTTAATTTCTAAATGTAAACTTAATGCTGATATTTATGTGCATTTTTAAAATAGACGTATATAGAGATCTGATTCTTGGGGAGGAAAATGAACAAAATGGGAAGTACCTGAAATGTAAAGAGACACTGTCAACCTGAATAGGACGCCAGGTGAAAATAAGTTCCAGGCAACATCCCTGAAGGATAATTTTATTTGACAACTTTTTTTTTTTTTCCCCTAAGAGGATAATGGCTTTTAACATACGCTTCAACAGTTTATTTTGGTTTGAATATATGAAAGATGACTTCAGGGACACCTGCCTGGCTCCTAACTTCTTCTGCCTGAGACTGGTATGCTCAGATAGAAGTGGGAAGTCCATCCCAAGCCTAGCTGGCACCTCAGGCAGGTGTGGTGAAGCGTGGTGGTGGTCTGCGCTCCGACGGAAGGC